TTATAATTCTGTATGTTAAAAGTCAAAGATCAGTGCTAAATGAATAGAAATACTAATTTATGTATTGATTTTGTCTTTTTGCATGTTAATTGATTTCTAGATATCAAAAATCTAGAAAAAAATAAAATTTCTAGAATTCAAAAATAATCTAAAACTTGTATCACCTTATATTAATCAGGGTTCCTAGGTATAAGCAGTATAAACTAATTCTGCTTAACTTGAGCTAATAATAAACTTACTAGAAAGATACTAAGTGATCCACAAAAATAATAGGCTGGCGAACTAAGTTTATAAATTTTTCAGGAGCCAAGGGAGATTAAATTAAAAGAAAACACAAAGTCATACCAAAGTCATGTCTGGTTAGGTATTTCTGGACACTTGTGGCCATTACCATCACTAGACTTTTTACAATGATGCACTCACCACCAATGCCTGGTCCCATATACCACTTCCACTCGGTGGGCCACTGCTGGTCACATCTAACTATATGACTTTGCAGATAGATAATGTCCCCTTTACAATAAGCAGCTTGTCACATGGTCATCTGATGGGTCATGGTCAGGTGTTTCACCATGGTCAGGTGTTTAGTATCTAAAAACGCCTAGAACTGGGCTAGAGCTATTTTATAGGAGGAGCATTGCTACCCTTTAAAAGGGTAGATTTTATATTATGTAAACTGTATCTCAAAGCCGTCATTTTAAAAAAAGCATTGCACAGCTAAGACATTTAATATTTTATTATGGTTACATTTTCTTTTGAGTGCAAGTTTTTTCTCTGGAGTTGTTAATTTCCTTTCTCTTTTTTTGTTTGCCTATTTTCAATGATCCCATCATTAACTTATTCTCAAAATCTTTATCAGAGTTTAAATATTCTCTCAGTACATTCAAACATATTTTGTTTTACATTATGTATTCTGTTTCATAACTTTCTTAGTGCTTTAGCACTGTGTGTTTATATTGATTTCTGGTCAACTGAGATGTTTCATTTGTATGAGGGAATATCTTACCCTTATGTCTTTCTTTAACTGGTATTGCTACATTTTGTAACAAAGGGGTGCTCAATTAGATATTTTACTGTATTCTCCAGCCCTCTCTCACCTTCCCATCCCCAAGCCTTTGCTTTTTGGATGTGCTAATTCAAATTAAAAAAAATTTTTTTATCATGAATATCTGTTAAAATTTACAAATGTTTTTCTGTCTCTATTGAAATGATCATATGAATTTTTTCCTATAGTTTGCTATGTCATAGACAGTGATTGAATTTCCAAGGTTGAACCAATTTTGCCTTTCTAGAATAAACCCAGATTGGTCACCATGGAACATTATTTTTCACTTTATCACTTGATTGCTAATATTTTATTTAGGATTTTAAATCTGTTTCTGAGTGACATTGGCTTAAATGAGTTGGGAAGTTTTCTCTCTTCTTACATTTTTTAGAGAGTTTATGTAAGGTTGGAATCGTGTATGCCTTAAATGTTTAGTTCACCAAGGAAGCCATGTGACATGGAGTTTATTTTTAAAATACTTTAAATTACAAATTTAATTTAATAGATCTAAGACTATTCCGATTTCTCTTCATTTGTGTGTTAGTTTTGATAAGTTGCTTTTTGTAGGAATTTTTTCAGTTCATGTAAATTTTCAAATTTATTGACAATGTTTTTTATTACTTACTGTACTTTTTTTATGCCAAAATGTCCCCCCTTAAATTCCTGATTTTATTATGTGTGCCTGCTCTCTTTTTTCTTCACATTTTATCAATAATTTATTAATCTTGTTAGTCTTTTGAAAGGGCAACTTTTTTTTTTCTTTTTTTTTTTTTTTTTGAGACGGAGTCTCGCTCTGTCGCCCAGGCTGGAGTGCAGTGGCCGGATCTCAGCTCACTGCAAGCCTCGCCTCCCGGGTTTACGCCATTCTCCTGCCTCAGCCTCCCGAGTAGCTGGGACTACAGGCGCCCGCCACCTCGCCCGGCTAGTTTTTTGTATTTTTTACTGGAGACGGGGTTTCACCGTGTTAGCCAGGATGGTCTCGATCTCCTGACCTCGTGATTTTAGACAGTCTTGCTCTGTCACCCAGGCTGGAGTGCAGTGGCCTGATCTCGGCTCACTAACACCTCAGCCTCCTGGGTTCAAGCAGTTCTCACGTCTCAGCCTACGAAGTAGCTGGGATTACAGGCGTGCACCACCACATCCAGCGAATTTTTGTATTTTCAGTGGAGATGGGGTTTCACCATATTGGCCAGGCTGGTCTTGAACTCCTGACCTCAGGTGACCCAACCACCTCCGCCTCCCAAAGTGATGGGATTACAGGCATGAGCCAATGCATCCCGCCAGGACCAACTTTGTGTTTCATTTTCTAATTCATTTATTTTATTCTCATGTTTATTGTTTCCTTTCTTCTACTTTTTTGGGGTGTAATTGCTATTCTTTTTTTAACCTCTTGAAATTATTACTTAGATTATTATTGTCAAACTTTTTAAATATATCATTTAAGGCTATTGATTTTCTTCTAATCATGGCTTTAGCTAAATTCCACAAATTTTGACAGTTGATGTTTCTATTAATGTGCATTTAAAAATACTATTTACTTTCCCTTGTGATTTCTTCTTTGACCCATGGGCAATTTAGAAGATTACAACATAATTTCTGAGTATTTGGGGTTTATCTAATTTAGTTCCACTGTGGTCAGAAAATATTCGGAATTAGTCACCTCATACTGCCATAACAAAATACCATAAGGGTGGCTTCAAAGACAGAACTTTGTTTTCTTACAGTCTGGAGGCTGGAGAGTCCAAGATTAAAGGGTTCAGTTTTTGGTGAGGGCTCTCTTCCTGACTTTCAGACAGTGGATGTCTTGCTGTGTCCTCACATGGTGGAGAGAGAGCAAGCTCCCTAGTGTCTCTTTTTACAAAGGCACTAATCCCATCATGTGGACCCCACCCTCATGTCCCCATCTAATCCTAATTACCTCTCAAAGGTCCCATCTCCAAATACTACCATGCTGGGGTTTAGGGCTTCAACATTTGAATTTGTTGGTGACACAAACCTTCAGACCACATCACAGACCCTGTATTGTTTTAATCTGTTGATTAATTTGCTTCTTTTTTACTAGAATTTGTACTTTCATTTAGGATTTAGGATATATAACCACATGCAAAAGTTTGCTTTATATATGTCAGCTTCTCTGTTCAGCTCTTTTTTAGCTTTATAATATGCATAAAATAAAATATTTTCATCTTCTTATTTTGAAACATTTAAGATAATATGGGAATTCACCTGTTTCTTGAAAATTTGTAGGACTTGACCACAAAACTAGTGAGGTCCAGTCCCTTTCTTGAATGGAACTTTCATAGTTCCTTAGAAGGTTATCTATTTTATCCATATTTTCAGATGTATTATTAAATCCCTTATATTCTTATTAATGTCTGCCTTGTTAATATGCCAAGGGTTTAGCAAAGTATTTTAAAGATTTTAAATTTTTAAATTTTTTTGTCCATTTTTCCTATACTTAACAGCTCATGCTTTTTACAAGTTTATGCTTTATATTTAATCTCCATACTTGTGTGATTATTATATATCTTCATTGTGAAATTTTTCCTTCATAAATAAAACTTTTATTCTTTTGTCCTATTATATTTGCATTAAATACTATTTTTCATTTTCTTTTTATTTACACAAGTAGGGGATGTTTATAATAGAAAATTAGAAAAGAGAAAAACTGAGAATCATTTTTAGATTAAATACTAATTAATTTTTTCGGAGAAATAACATTTTCTGATATGAGTGCTTATTGTAATAAAAATCAGAAAAAATCAGCAAGAATAAAGAAAATAAAAATCATATAGTTAGGTATCATCACTGGTAACATTTTAATGTATAATTATTCAGACTTTTTTCTGCATGCATTTATAAATGCATAAAAATAGGCTTATACTCTACAAACTATTTTATGACCTGCTTTTCTTTTCTATTAAAAATATATAATGATTGTATTTCTATGTTAATAACTATACATCTACTTTATTATTTTAATGGCTGCTAGCATTGTGCTGTATGAATGGACAATTATTTTCCACTTTATTGTTAAACATTTATATGATCTCCTTCCATTTTGTAAAATGTAATTCAATTTAATATTTGTGTGTGTGCTATTATAAACTACCCTAGAGCCAGCATCCTTTTACGAACATTTTAAACATTTAAAAATGGTTTGCTCATGATGTATCTCTACAGTAACTAGTGAAGAATTCATGTTTGCTAATTAAATATCCACAAGTTAAAATAACCATAATGTGTAATTTTTTACCCATCAGATGGGCGGAGACTTTTCTCAATGATATTCTCCAGTGTGGTTATGGGTATAGGCAACTAGGTGTTCTCAAATGCTTCTGGTGGGAGTGTAAATTGGGAGAATCTTCCTTGAAGGCAACTTGGAAATATGTGTCAAAAGCAGCTGCCCTGGTTTTTCATTTTTACAGATGTTTTATGAGAAAACCTGATTTTTCCAAGATCTTATTGGAAAGGAATCACATTATATATATGTTGTAAATCCAATCCTAACATAAAAGAATTTTCGTAGGGATATTCCAAATAATGAAGCCAGGTGCCCTGAAGATTTCCTGAAGTGTGCTTTTAAACATTTAAAATTTCTTTTGACACCTATATAAATCATCATTGCCTTGGGACTCCATTCAAAACAAAACCAGGATTTTGTTTTTGATATATAGTGGTACCAAGGACAGGATGGGAACAGATCTGCTGCTTTTTACTCTGGACTTTCCTAAACGGGTAAGATCTTTAAACACTTTCCTGACATTTATTGCCTTTAAATACTATAGCTCTGTGTTTTAATTGCATATATTGATGGAGATGCTGTGACTGTAGAATCTGTACACAGGGTGTGAAGTCTGGAAGCGCAGAGGAGAACTTCACGTTGTTCGTACTCTGATGGTTGCACATTGGTTTATTGGACTGTTCAACTTTCCCCACTTGTTTTCTGTTTTAGGTGGGACATGGGCTCTTGGGGGCCCTGCTCAGCTACCTGTGGAGTTGGAATTCAGACCCGAGATGTGTACTGCCTGCACCCAGGGGAGACCCCTGCCCCTCCTGAGGAGTGCCGAGATGAAAAGCCCCATGCTTTACAAGCATGCAATCAGTTTGACTGCCCTCCTGGCTGGCACATTGAAGAATGGCAGCAGGTAGGGCAGACTGGCCACTCCAGGGCCCTCTGTGATTATGATTGTGAGAGGCCCTGCACTGCACTAACACAGAGTAGGCCAAGCCTGCCATATCACACCCTCTTGTCTTCTTAGTGTTCCAGGACTTGTGGCGGGGGAACTCAGAATAGAAGAGTCACCTGCCGGCAGCTGCTAACAGATGGCAGCTTTTTGAATCTCTCAGATGAATTGTGCCAAGGACCTAAGGCATCGTCTCACAAGTCCTGTGCCAGGACAGACTGTCCTCCACATTTAGCTGTGGGAGACTGGTCTAAGGTAAGGGCCAGGCTCAACTTTACAGTCCCTTCTTTTCTGCCCCTCCTTTGTTTCAGCTTCTAAATATTTCCACAAGGTCAGGCTGGAACTAGTGTGAGATGAGTAAGGGTCCTAGGGGGCCACATTTAAGGAAGTGCTCACTCACTCTCGGGGTTGTGCAAGTGTTATAGTCCAGGCCCGCACGTGATGATTCATTTCCAGTTTTTACTCAATATTATTCAAAGTGTTCTTACTATCTTTCTCCCAAACCAGCCCCTTCTTTTGGAACTACCAGGATCATAGTATCCCAGGATAAACTCAAAATCACTTTGGTTCCTCTCTTCCTTGTGTCCTCCCATGTGGAATCATTCATTAAGCTCTGTCATTCCAACATTCTGAACATCTTCCATGCCTTAACTTCCTCTATGTTTTGTCACTGTTAATTTTACCCTTCATCATGGTAAGTTTGAATTCGTGCAGTGAGTAGAATTCTAGCACATCGTTTCAGTGCTGGCAGGGCTTGACCCAGTCTAGTAATGAAGCCTTATTTTTCAGGTGGGGGAAATTAAATCCCAATAGCTGAAGTAAGCTACCTAAGCTCCCACAGCTGGAAAAGTAGCAGAATCCACTTGTTTTGACTTTATTCCAAGAGTTCTTTCTGTTATATTACACTGCCCACTTGATCTTTCTGTATTACTCTCGCATCTCCAGACTAGCTAACATCCCACAGTGTTGCCATCACTGTGTCCATCAAGTCTCCAGCTTGTTCAGAATCTTCCATCAGTCTGATTGCTTGCGATATCAAGTGCAGTAGTCCCTGTTTATTCACAGGAGATACAGTCCAAGACCCCAGTGAATGCCTGAAACTGTGGATCATACTGAATTTTATATATCCTTTGGTTTTTTTTATCTGATAACTGAGAAGACTACTTAAGTGACTAATAGGCAGGTGGCATGGATGGAATGATTCATGTCCTGGGCAGATGGAGTGAGATGGTGAGAGATTTCATCACATTACTCAGAATGTCATGCAACCTAAAACTTACAAATTGTTTATTTCTGGAATGTTCTATTTAATATTTTTGGACCATGGTTGACTGTGGAAAGCGAAACCATGGATAAGAGGGGACTCTGGTATATGTTCCCCAGAAGAGCTGGTAGGGCCTTTCTTGCACTCATGGCTCTCTTGCTCCAGTCCTTATTCTTCTTCCAGCCCTTTGCTCCAGTCTTGCTGCATCCTTAACATCTGCAGGCTGAGATTTTAGCACAGATTCAAAACAAATAAATTAGTTGTGTTATTGGTGTCTTGTAACCTCTAGTCACTGCCACCTGGTGTGTATCTTCTTGGAGTAGAGACCCAACCCCAACATCAGAAATAACCTCAAGAAATAAGGAAGGACAGTGAGTGACATTCACAAGCTGCTCTGAGTCCTAGATTCAGTGCTGGGCATAGTCATGACCTGCTCCTCTCATCTCATCCTACAATAGCCCCAGAAGCAGATGTTATCTCCATTTTTATAGATGAGAAAACAGAGGTTCATTCAGATTAGGTAACTTGCCCAAGAACACAGATAGATTCAAACCCAAAATTATTATACATGGTATACACTTGTCTTTTATGCAAGAGAAAAGGCTTTTGAGCCCAACAGACCCATGCTGGTACCCCAGCTCTAAAGCCTAAATCTGGGTGGCCTTGTTAAATACACTTCACCTCTCTGAGCCCCCATTTACTTTCGCTAAATGCAATGGTTCTTGTGAGGATAAGGTAAGATATTTGACATGGCAATGTCTAGTGGAGTAGGCTCTTCCCATCGCCCTTGAGAGAAGGTCCACATTTCTGGCTGTAGGTTGGATTAACAGTATTTCTATACATATATCCAGATTGGGATTTTTCCTGTTTTAACTGTCTAGTTCTGTTAAGTGCTAGTATTTTAAAACTGTCTTAACTGAAAACCTACAGGTCATTATCCTCAGTCAATGCCACTGAAGGTCTACATAAACATTCCCTTCTGAGGTTTATCAGAAGAAGCCTAAGGAAAGAGATGAACCCATCTCTCCAGGGTCTGCAGAGCAGGAGTTGCCCTAGGATCCAGCCACCAATACCCACTTCCTCTGTCCAACTCACAAGCAGCTGGAGACAGTGCCAGTGGCCACAGCTCTCCCCGGAAAGTTGCCATACTATAGGTAAATGACTTGAGGGACAGGAGTCCCTCCTGCAGTCTGGTCCTTAACAAAGAGAAAGGACTGATCCAGGTGAGACCACCACCCCAAAGGAGGGTGGGGAGGACAGGTAGAAGTCTGTCTGGAGAGCTTTGTGTGCAAAAGTGGGTTAGCTTAATTTTCCTACTACTTGCACAAGGAACAATAGATGGCCCAAGGAAGAATCATTCTTTTGGGAATTCCTTTGAGACTAGGTCAGGCAGTAGGGGCTGGGCAAAGGTGTTAGAGAGGTGGGTAGCCTGGGTGGGCTAGTGGGTAGGCAGTATTTATTCTATCACCTAGTTACATCACCCAGTTAAGCCCCAAGAGTGAAGCCTTACCTTGCCCCATTGTCAGGAGAGGTGAAGGATCCAGTTACTGTTTCCGTAAAGTTAGGAACAGAAGGAAGCACCACACTTTTGTGAGGAGGATCTTGCATTGTGAATGCGTGATTCTCCTTGCTACACTTAGTGTGGCCCAAGGACTAGTCAAATTGACATCAGCAGGGAACTTTTAAGAAATGAGGAATCTCAAGTCCCACCCAGACCTAAGGAATCAGAGTCTGCATTTCAACAAGATCCCTGGGTGTTGTAATGATACACTTGCAGTGTGAGAAGTGTTTCCTTACCTGCCTCTCATTCTTGTTTGGGTGGGTTAGCCCTTACATGTGTCCAAAGTAGGAATGGCTCGGGGTAGTGACTTCTTTGATCAAGTGCTGCCCTAGCCTAAAGGGAAGAGGCAAGAAAAGGGAAGAACAGCAAAGGAGCAGATGTTGAGGAGAAACCAGGCAGCTTGTTTCTGGATGCAGCGAGGGAGCACCTAGAACCACTGCCAAGCCCTAAAATACCCCACTTTGCTTCTGTCCTTGCTTCTCTCCTCTAAGAACAAACAGGCCTTCACAGTTCTATCCTGTCTTGTGGAACAAACGGTTGTCACTGGCATTTTAGAGTGGAGGCTAGTGGTGACATCACCACTTTCCTCCCTGTTCACTCTCTCAGTGAATAACTGAATTTACAATTGCCAGTTGCGTATCACTAAAGTAACACCATTGCACATCTATATGGGCCCGCTTGTGTGTCTTTGCTCTTGTGGCTTTCATATCCTGGGTCCAACTGTAAGCTTCCCTCTTCTGTGAAGTTTTCCACTTCCTAAAATCACTCAGCATTTCCCACTTTTAAATCACAATGACCCTAATTTTTATTGTTTTTCAATGTTAGCTCTTTCCTGAGCATCCATATGGTCTTCCCTTCTGGTTTATATTGTCCTTGAGGCCAGTGGCCATGGGATTGCCAACAGATCCTCTGGTTGTCCAGAGCTCTGAGCAAGTAAATACTATTCCTCAACAGTATTTGCAAAGTCAGGGAAAATGCGAAGTGGTGTTGAAATAGTGATCTTTAGAAGAGCTCAGGTCTGCTAACACAGGAGAGGCAGATCATTCATTGGAGGGGTTTTTGTTGAGATGAAGAAGAGAAGGAAACTAAAGAGGAGGCTACCCATGCGAGCTGGTTTGGACTGGAGGATGTTTAGTTTCATAGGCAACCATTCATCAGGGCAAAGAGCAAGCTCTCCTGTGCTCCGAGAGGTCAGCCCAAACTCAAACAAGACACTCTCTGGCTTCCAGTCATGACCTCACATCCAGGAAGCCCCTATCTGGGAGGAAGAGCAAGCATACACACATGCACAAGAAAACAGAGGCAGCCTCAGCCTGTGGACATCAAAAGCCAGTGTTGAGGCTGGAGTGCAATCAGGCACACAACCTGTTTCACAGAAGTTTGAGTTTCCTGTTGGATGGAGCGTTCTCCTCTTACTTAAATTTTCCTCTCATCAGAGTTGCTTTTTTTTTGGCAGAGACTCTGACACCAAATTGCCACCGTTCTTAAAGCTTCCTGCCAAACTAGTCCCTCTGCCATGGGATGGCTCACTTGGGGGCAGCCATCCATTTTGTGGTTCTGGATAAGGTCCTTCCACGTTGAACCTGGCCGCTAACCCTGGACACAGAAAGGCTGAGCAGCCACGCCAGAATTTCCATTCTTCATGGAGCCAGGCCTCTGGCCTACAGCCAGAATCTTCCTCTTCCCTGACACTGGCTCTATTCATGGCATATTTGAGCTCTGTCCATTCATTGGCTTATGAGTTTGCCTTAGTTCCTTAGATCTGGACCAAGCCTTAGGCAGAAAGGAACCTTCAGTTCTTACACTGCTTTTCAAATTAGAAGCATTGACTCATATCAGGCAGTCTTCCCAAATGGTGAATTTCTGTGATCCACATACCCCTTGTAGCCTGTTTTGTGTCTCACCTCTTGACTGAAATAGCCTTCCTTTATTTTCTGTACTTTGATGGAACATTTGATTATTTTGTTTATCTTCACCTTTTTCCTTCATCGTGTTTCTTGGTATTTTTATTTTTTCTACTTATCTGACTATGTCTTTTCTGTTGACTTCTCTTCTTCCAAATCTCAAAAAGCCCAATATTTGATCCATTGATTTCCATTGCTACACTTTTCCACTGTGGTTGATTCTGTGTCCTGAATTCTTTAACTTCGATGGGTGATTTTCAATCTCCAGAAAGTCTCTAACCTTCTAACCATATCTCCAGCTCCCCATCTAGTTTATATCCTCATCATGGGAAAGCAAAGGGACAGCCTCTTCACCCTCTCCCAACCAGTTCCCCCCACTTCCTGTCTCTGTCGGTGTACCACTGTCTTCCAACACTTATGATCTTCTCTGAGTTCTTCACCTCCTATATTGTTATTCATGTCTGCCAACTCTTCAACTCTTGAACTATTAATATATCTAATATGCTAAGTAAAAAGGAAAATATCC